TGTTCCCTCAGTCCCTTCCTCTCCACACCTGTCTTATTGTACTGAGGAGACCCTCTTATCCCCTTCTTCCTGATTCACTTATGCTCTGCTTTCACTGCACTTAACTCTCATGGTGATCTTTGAGACCACCCAGACCCCACTGTACTGGCCCCTGCATGTTGGGCTGAAAACTTCCACGACCAAACCAAATCACAGTCTCACATGTATTGTTGATTACTGGTATGTAAGTACAGTGATGAATGGGGGACTTTTAATCCAGCTTGCTTTTGTTTAAATAATGGAGGAATGTATTGGTACTTTTATAGATTTAGCATTTTGGAATTGCACGTTGAATAATGAGGCATGAACAATCTTGTCGTATTTTTTGTTTTATTATTTGGGCTACTGCACAATTTCATTTTCACAGGGAATTTATAGAGTATAAGGGTTGCAGAGCTACTGCTTTATCTGGAATACCCTCCTGATAACAAAGTCTACATAGACCCTATGGAGTTGTTTAACAAGGCTGCTGTTACAGCATCAGGAAGGAGGACATTCATCCAGGGATCCAGGACCCCTGATCTCCAAGTAGCATCCCCCAGCCATGAAGAGCTCTTCCAGGGTCTCCAATGTGCATTTCCAGAGTGGAGCCCTGGAGGATTGTGGATGGGCTGCTTGTATAGTGTACAATATGTCAAGGCAAGAGTATAAGAGGAAGCCGGGGGCACCATCTCAGGGACATAATGGTAAATCAAATGCTCTCACAGGACGCAAGAATAAGGGGAGGAGCAGAAAAGCATAAGGATGAGTGGAAGAAAAGGAGGAGGAGAGTGTCTTCAGTGCTAATTAGCCATCTAGCACAGGCCCTTCCTCAAAGAATACTAGGAGGACTAGGACACTCACGTACACACACTGAAGCACTGGGTTGTGTTGTGGGGGGTATAGCATCCTCTGAGTGTTAGGTAATTGGAGCGTTGTACCTCTAGAGAAAACTGCTGATTTCATAGGAAGTGCTAACAGGACCTTTGTGTGCCATGTTTCCCTTTTCCAGGGAGCCTGCGGGGCCAGACTGAGAGAGAGCTTTGGGCCTATAGTGGGAACAGACCCAGCCATACCTGAGTAGGGCCAGCCACAGCGGTAATGAACCTCTTCACATGGCCGTTCACCCAAAAGGAAAAGAGGTGGATAAAGAAAGGAGGACTGAGAAAGAGGAGGGGGTGCAGCCTAATTTCACAGCCAGAGAATAGCAGGTGGGACAAAAGGTCTAGCTTGAGGAGCAGAGGTGGGGGGGAGCTTTATTAGTGGTATTCTCCTGCCCCATTTACACCATCTCTCTCCTCGGCAATGGAGCACTTATCACAAGTGTACCCATCCAGCTCACCAATAGAAACAAGCAAACGCTATCCGTCAATGTTTACCATTAAGGATCTGTCATTTGCAGATCCACCATATGCGGCAGATTAATGGGACTCAGGCCTCTTTCTCCCGCTCTCTTTCTCTCCCTCTTCCTCTCTCTTCAGTGAACACCCAACTCACCGTGTGGCCAAACTCAATGTTATTCTGAGAAACAGAGAATGAAAACAAGCCACAGAGAATGGAAACAAGTGATAGAGAGACGAGCGCAATGAAGGGTTTTAGCTGGAAGGCAACACGAGCAAACATTTGTCAGATTTACATGAAGGAGTTGATTTAGCTTTTTCCCACAAACATTTTCATCCAAATGGATTACTGTGTTTAGCATTTCTGCCTTCTGTTAAACTGGTAACTAAGCGAAACTCGGAGATGAGGTCAAAAAAAATGATTTTTCACAGAAAATGGCAAATATTTAAAAAACTCAAATGAGTCATGGCAGACGTGGAGGCTCAAACATTGCAGTTATTACATCACAAGCACAAATAATGTTTCTGTTTCGACACAGGCACGGTAAGGTCTGTGTTACAACACAAATGCAGGCTAAGTTGTCATAATAATTTTTCAGATATGTCATTTCTACTTCCTACTAATTCGTTTTTCCTATTACATCAAGTTAACATCTTCTAGTGGCTGCTTGGATTGTATTCACAGGCCAACTTCGCTTAATTTTAATGTAAAGCATTTTACTTTAAAACTGGATAGGTGTTCTGTATTAAACAAACATCTTGACCTAACCTTTAACCAGCCTGAACATACAAACGAAAAAGTTGAATTGAGATGGTGTGAAAATATATTGGATCGCAGGAGTGGATAGATGGAATTGTACATTGTTCTATGTCCTCCAAACGTTTCTTTGTTATTAGTAATGTAAAAATACTCTACAGTGTTTGAGGGGTCATTGTTATGGATCCATGTTGTATTTGATCTTATAGGGGTTGCGCGAAAAAAAGAAACCTTTAACCCTAACTAAATACATAAAAGAGCAGTAAACAAGCTTCACAATAAGAATGGCCCTCAATAACAATTAATTTACACATTATTTAAATACTCCAACACAAGACAAACAATGATTTTGAAACAGTTCTGAAAGAGGAACTTACTTGTAGTCAAATAAAGAAGCCTGAGTGGGAACAGAATATTTTTGATGATTGGCCAAATTTAGGAGACACAAACTGCTGTTCAACAAACACAGTGATTTAGTGATTGTTCTTCAAATTAGAAATGTATAAATTAACGAAATAATTTGAATAAAATGTCACCCCTACTACACAACGTATCTAAATCTCTATGTTACAATCTAACCATGTTTCATCTAGATGTTTCCCTTGAATTGTATACACACACGCAAACACACACACAAGCAAACACACAAAACTCCCACACACACACACACTGTAGTTAAAGTGTTGAGACACTAACTTCTTTTCTCCAGAATGCACACTGGACATCTTTGTCACTGGTGTGGGCTGAATGGTGACCCTCTGCCAAAGGAGAGGAAAAGGAAGAGAGGGGAGACAGGGGTGAGGGTGACACTCAGGTGGTCCTGACTCCATCTCTCTTTCTCCTTCTTTGTTGAACAAATATCTCCCCACTGTGGTCCGTCTGTCTGTGTGGCTCTGTTCACCCTCGAGGCCATGTCTGCCCATTCAACAGGGTCCTGTAAGTAAGTGAGTGAACAAGGGGGGGTATAGGAGGGGACGGAAGGAGGGAAGACACATCATTTGGGTTGTCCCCTTTTTGTTGTGCTCTTCCTCTGAGAAACACAAGAGAACACAAAACAACACAAAAGAGTAAGTTCTGCTCCTTTTCCTTCCTCTCCCTTGTGACCACATGCAGCCACACACACTCACTCACACACATAGAAGAGGTCCTTTCTTAACTACGACTTCTCTAACCCCCCTGCTCCTTGGCCTGTTCCCGAGGAACCATCCGATCTGGCTTTGCAAGTGTAAGGAGGCAAAAACCTCCCCACAAATTAGTCCACATCCAGAGATGAAGATAGAGACCAAGAGATGGGGTGTCAGAGAAAGGGAGAAAGAGCAAAGTGGGCCAGGAGGAGAGCACAAGTGGGATAGGAGAGGCTAATCTGCCCCAGAAGTTATCACTCCTTTCCAAACGAGAGGGAGGGAGAGAGAGAGGGAGAGAGAGAGGGAGAGAGAGAGGAAGAGAGGCTGAAGGGGAGGAAGGAGGGCCAGAGGGAGGTAATGAGTAGTTGAGGCCAGACTTCCCAGAAGTTATCCTTCATTTCCGTTGTGCTTTTGTGCCCGATGGCCTCCCTTGGAGGGGCTCTGATGGCTATTGTTGGTGCCAGACTGGCTAGAGCTAGAGCAGGAGAGGAGAGGAGGCAAGGAATTAAATGTAAAAAACGATTAAATGGTCATTGTGTGCCTATAAATGGTAGGAATATAAAACATTTATAATATTGTTGCATCAGATTATCATCACTTAGAGCATCTGAGTCACAGCATTAAGATGTAAAATGTAAAATAAACGTTAATCACAAAATGGCTTTACAGAGTAATTACAATAAAAACTGATTATATTCAGCACTTTTAGTCAATTCATCATTCAGACATCTAAAGCAGGGGTGGGGAACCTCCGGCCCCCGGGACGTATACGAGCGAGTGGCTGTTTTTCCTGGCCAAGGTCAGGGTCCATGAACACAACACGAGCCTAACCTGTCATCATGTGGTATATGTCTCGTCTGACAGGGGTGCAGTTATGCCGGAGAGCACCAGAACGTCGCTCCGGCTCTTCAGAAATTGCAGTACCCATAAGGAGCCGTACACATGCTGCAGTTTTTGCGTGGCTGTGTCTTTAGTTGAAAGCCCAGTGGCTGTTCATCTGTCATACTGATCATACAGTCAATAACTTTGTTGTTATTAGCATCTGGTTAGCTAGCTATGCTAACGAATATAAGAAGCTTTTTCTACAACCAGTGAGGTAGGGGCACATCTTTATATGATCATTATAGTTATAAAAAAATAAGAGAATAAAGTAAACAGGTATAAAATACTATATGACAGTAAAAAAAAGTTGTTATTAATAAACAAGAATACAGTTTGAAAGGGGAGTGATTTGTAAAATATCCATAAAGAAAAAGAAAATCTTCTTACAGTTCTGTTTCATATGGATGTTGAGAGATGTATCCATAGATCTCCTAATGTTGCTCTCAAAGTGCACCAGATTGATGCTTTTAACTTCAACATTTAATTTTGTTTTTTATTCCCTTTCCTTTTCTCTTTCCTTCCTCCTCTCCTCTCATCTCCTTATCTACTCTCATTTCCCTAAACTCTTTTTTCTCTCCTCCTTTTATTTCCTCATCTCCTTTCCTCTATCCTTTCTTCTTCTCCCTCCACATTCCTCTCCTCTTTCCTTTGTTTCCAATTCATTTTGCCTTATTGCCATGACTAAGGACAATAATCCCAAAGTGTAAGGTTATAATGAGATAATAAAGAAAAGGATCTTTCATTAGAAATCAGGAAAATGGCAAAAAGAAAGAAAGTTTGTGTGGAGTTTGGTGTCCTTCTAACAGCTGCTCTGTATTATGGAAGTGTTATCGTACAACCTCACCTGTCCCCTCTTTGTCCTCCTCTCCTCTCAGATGGTTCCTCCCTTCAAGCCTCAGGTGACATCGGAGACGGACACCAGATACTTTGACGAGGAGTTCACGGCCCAGACCATCACGATCACTCCACCAGAGAAATGTGAGTCTCCCTTTCTCTTTCTCACACAGAACAGATGCTCACATTACCATTTGTTTTACATAACTGAGGATATTCTTAGTGTATAGAGTAGAATCAGAAGCAGTGTGTTTAACAAGTGTTGGGATTAATATTACACACACATCCCACCAAACAATGTACAGTGAGTGCTTTGTGTTTTCATATACTTGAAGTACTTCAGAGGATTATGATGTTAACAAAGTGTTTTGTTTAGAAGTTTGAATAAATTATTTTTTGTTTGTTAGGCACCTAAAAGTGATACAATTCTACTTTTAACTCACTTTGATTACTCGTTTAAACAATATATGTGCTACTGCTCTTTCTTGAGGTGAGATATTTCACCTTAAATTAACTGAGGTAACAGACACTCTGAATGTGTCTCTGTAATAGTCCTCAGGCCATGCAGCTCTTCACAGGTTTTTGGAATAAAGACGCCGATTTCAGCGCTGAATTATGCATGAGTGGAACCGATGTGTTTCTCCGCGCTAATGTGAGGCTCCCACTTGTTTTGTAGGTCGCACATCAGTCAGTTAACAGGGGGTTGTCACATCGGAGACACGCTCATTAATTGAATTTTGTGCCGTTTAAACCTGCAGTACAACAACTTATGTAAATCCTAATGAAAAATCCACCTGATTATATACTTTTATTACACGGCTTAGTTTAATACTCGATTCTGATTGGTCAATTCGGACATTTCAGAGGTTGTTAACACTAGATAACACGCTGCTGCTGCTGCTGCTGCTAAGCAAAATAATGTTGTTGAGGGGGATCAACGGAGCGAGAAAGACAGAGAAATCTACATATAAGGGCAGACAGGAAGTACACTGGGTTTGGACTCTGGGATTGTCCGTATTAGTCATGGCAATAAGGCAACAATGAATTGAATGCAATGGAGAGGGGAGGAGGGAGGAATGTGGAAAGAGAAGAAGAAAGGGTAGAGGAAAGGAGATGAGGACCGAAAATGAGGAGAGAGGTGAGGAGAAGAGATAAGGAAGGGAAGGAGGACAGAAGAGAGAAAAAAGAAAGAATTTTAGGGAACTAGAGTAGATGAGGATATGAGAGGAGAGGAGGAAGGAAAGAGTATAGGAAAGAAGGACAGATAAGGAAATGAAAGGAAATAAATGAAAAAGTGGAAAATAAACTGTGAACACATTGGGACAGTTACAGAAAACATACTCATATTCTGATTTTGAATTGTTATGAATTCTGTAATTAACTCTGAATGCAAACGTTTCTTTAGTCGACGAGGACGGGATGGAATGTCTGGACAACGAGAGACGACCGCACTTCCCGCAGTTTTCCTACTCTGCCAGCGGGCGGGAATGAACTGTTGTCACGGTGACATCATCACAACTGGTCTCTGAGGTCATCAGCGTGGGACAGAAAGACCCACAGCTTTGGACAGACCCAAAAAGACTTGAAGGATGTTTCCCCCTCTCCTCTTCATCCTCTCTTTTTCACCTCTGCAGTCTGCTTCCATTTTCTTTTCTAATTTTGATGAATCCCTTTTCTAGAAAGAACTCCCAGGCGAAGTTACTTTGTGATCCTGCACTGCAGCCCTAGGTGATCCGAACTGTGATGTGATCAGTTACTATGTAATGTCCCTTTAATGACAGGAGCATCACCGGTGGCCTGCTGTGCTTTGACATGTGTCAAACTCCTAAACTGATCCACTTAGAGAACAGCTGATGTGTTTTAAGGAGGCTTCTCATCAGTAAGAAGGAGATATAGCATTTCATTCAAACCTAAACTGCCGTTACCGGTTGTATCTCAGGCTTTTTGCAAACAGAGAGATGCTCTCAGACTCAGAGACACTCGGGTCTGGTTTCAAACCCTCACCTTAAAGGTTCGGGGATTGATTGAGGCTGCCTTGCATTTGCAGTTGTCACCAGTGAGATGAATCCTGAAGCAGGATGTCACTCAGGTTTTGCTCAGTGCAATCCATTATTATTGTTGCTGCTATTTCAACTACTACAGGTACTACTACTACTACTATATACTGCTACTACTGAACCCGGTGCTACACTGCTAGCTTAATGCTGCAGATCATCATACAGGCGCCAGCAACACATCAAACACTTTATTAATGTCTATGCTTGAAAAGCTGCAGAACAGCTGTTGCTATGTACAGCTCAACTCTGTAGGTTATTATAGGATGTCATGTTTGTGTGAGTGCGCAAGATATTATAATAGGTTTGTGTTTAAGATCGCACTTCAAAGCACAGCAGTTCAGAAGGATGAAGCTCCCAAACCATGAGCTTTACTACATTACCCACAGTGCAGTGCAAGGTGGTTCATGTATCCATCTGTGAGGAGGTGAAAACGAGAGGAAGACAGTTAGTTTTGAATATTTTTGTTTGTTTATTTCTCTAATTCCCTCTGAGTGTAATTCTGTCGTGTCCCTAAAGAGAAAAGGAAAGTGAGACGCTCTTCGTGTCGATGACGAAGCTTTACTCGTCACGGCTTTTTGAACCACACGGCTGTACCTCTCTGTCTCTGAAAGAAAGAGAGACTGACACAGGAGCAGATTCACCACAGAGTGAGAAAAAAGTCCAGGTCGGGCATTGGTGATAAGATTAAAGAGAGAGATTACAGGTGAACAGCTCCAAGAAGGATGACATATTTACAAAGTGATAATTTATGATGTATTAATGAGTGAGATTACAGCAGATTTCCTGTGAGATTGTTACGAAGGGTTTTGTATGGTCTGTTAGGAGGTACTCATCAACATTAATGGGTTTACACCAATCCCAGCAATGGCTATAGTATATATATTATATATTATTTAATATATTATATATATAATGTTCTATTTATTGTTCTACTCATCGCTTTTATATTTAACTTTTTCTATTGTTATTTCATTATTCTAGAAAAAAATATTTCTTAGGGCTGAGAGAAGAAAAAAAAAAAGCACCTCAAGAAACAAAAACGGCTGAAAGAATGTAGGAAGGAAAGCAGATAGCCTTCCTTTTCCATCGTTTGTTTCAATTATGTGTTGTTTTGTGACCAAAATGTGACAGTCCAGTGTTGACAGGACGCATTAAAGACAGACGTTAATTCAACCAGAAAATAATATATTTATACAAACACCTTTATCAATCCAGATCATCCCACAGGTGTTTGCTATGAAAGCTCATCTCATTGTTTGGTTATTAACACACGGTGCCCTTATTTAATCTCACCACAAGTGTTTTGGGAAAGCTGAGGCAGAGAGGAAGTGGAAGTTGAGCAGAAAGTGCAGCGCAGAATGTAAAGCGGTAAGGTTTAATGTTGAACTGTAAGTGCTACTTTTTAAGTGAGTCGAGAAAGTCGAATGATAAGGGATATCTAATGTGAGTTTGTAAGGTGGGTCATATATTTTGATTGTAGATGAGAAAGAGCATTTTCCTTTAAGTAAGAGAAGGGATTTTCTTCTGTCTTTAACGCGACTGTCTCCTCTTCGCTGGACGTTGTTTGTCTGCGTCGTCATGTCTTCCAGTCTGACCACCAATATTTAAAATCCCCTCCATTCCAGTCTTCAAACGCCAGTAAGCCTTATGGTTTATTTCAGAATAAGTCAAACATTTTAAAATCCAGCAAAAAACACATATGAGAGAAAAAAAAAACGTTATCTGAAATTGTATTTGAATTTTAAAACACTTGTGGAAGACCCTAATATCTGGATGACAGATTACAGAGAGCACTAGGGGATGTGTTCTTATAAGGCGTAGAAAACTGTATTCAATATTTATTTGAATGTGTTATTCTTATCATTGATGATTAACTTGAATTTATTTTCTATTTAATTTATTTAATGTCATTTTGTTTTGGAGTTTAGCAGTAAGGGGGTGTAGTCGTGTTTCGCTCTGCAGTTTAAGTCTCCAGAGATTTTGTCCTTGAAATAAATGCCTCATTTATTTCTTTACCGGCATCTCTTATCCGACACATTACCTGTTTTTTCTGCTGCTCTCAAGTCCATCTGCTTTTCACTTGCACATCCATTAAATTGCTACTAGCTGGCAAAGGCGCTTTATGGCAGAAAGTAGAAAAGGACGGCATGCTGCAGTCCTCTGTCCGCAGGCCTGAGTCAAAGTGGCACTCAGAACTCTTATGAGGACTGCTTCTCTGTGATCGATTGAGCCTGTCTGGCACAGCTGAAGCAGCCGAGGAGTTCAAAATGAGAGCAGCTTCCTCCCAGCTGGCAGCTCGTCAGGCTCAAGCAAACGCTTCCATGTATTTGGAAGGATTTGTGCTTTGCTTTGACCCAGGTCTGCGATGTCTGAGGAGCTCGGGCTGTATGTGCGCGCTTCCCGCCAAAATCATTGGAAACCAGAGTTCATAAAATACCGCTTTGTAGCTTTGGCCACGGCACTTTCACATCCATCACTTTTTATATGAGTCAGAAGAATCTGATTCAGCCCTGCTTTAAAGGAAGATTTTTAGCTTTTTTATGTTTTTAAGAAAATGAGGATTTTTAAAGCACATCTCCCCTCACATACGACCGATAGCTTTCATGTTGCTCTGATGTCTCGGTCAGCGCTGCAGAATCACGCTCAGTCCACTGGTCAGTCTTCATAAACTCACAATCCACTGATGTCCCCGACTCCTTCCCTCCGTTGAGCCTCTGCTTTTATCCATTCCAAGTTTATTTACTGGCAGCAAAAATGCTTATTCTAAGGTAAGAGATTAAAAAAAAAAAGTGATCCTCCAACTACTGAGAAGATGGAGCTCCTCATGAGTTTAGGGTTCCTCTTAAAGACTATGAAACAGTTGTGGACACATGTCAGTCATTCCTTAAACTTTAAGGACCTTTTTAAAGTTCACTCTTAAAGCTGCTGCTGTTTGTACTGTTCATCTACTCAACAGAACAGATTTGGATGTAATGTAACAGACCTCAGCTGCTCTGTTTTGGTCTCGTCTGTTAATGAACCGACAGCGTGAGCCAAAGTCAGAAAACACGTCTCTTTAATACAGAAAAACGAGTAAACAGCTCCGGCGTTTGGAAGGATTTCTGAAAGTATTCGACCTCCCACTCTTCTTCCTCTGGTCTTCTATCATCATGATTATTAACATGAACAAGCATGAGATGCATTTATTTATAAGCAGCAAACAAAAAGCAGCGAAACATGTAAAAGTATTACAAAGTGTAACTGAGTTCTAATGTCATGTCCATCCTACTGTAGCTGTACAGCTGTGTGAGATATTTCCCAGAGGGCCGTGTTTCCCTGACGCTCTGAAACAGTCTGGAGGTGAAACAGAGAGTGCTGCTGGCCGGTGAGCCGCCAGGATGTGAAAACAACAGATTACCATCAACATGAAGCTGTTTTTTACACTGTACATCCTTAGTATTTTTACACAAAGTATATGATAGGGATGCACATTATTTTCCTTCTTACAGACGGCTTCAATAAAGCACTATGTCAATCTGCTGCACTGGTCACGACTCTTCATTTCCTTTGTGGCTAAAGAATACTATTTTCTGAACTTTCTGATCAGTTTAAAACCAGTTAAACCCCGCGGCAAAACACAACATCTTGCAAGAAATAGCGTCTGAGGGCTTCTTAACATTTAATAAACTATGAATGTATCATACCCACTTAACGGGAAGAAACTCGGCTAAATTCTAACGCACTTAGGAAAGAACTCACGTTAAAATACCATTATTACTTATCGAATCTGCACAAACAAGATATCGATTAACAAGCTGAGATTCCACAGATTCCAGAAATATAAATATCATCACTGAGCGACCAGAACTCGCGGCATGGGAAACAAAACCAGATATCACACCAAGTAGCTTATAGCAAACACGGTACATTGTCTTACCTTTTGCTGTTTCTGATCAAAAGTTGTGTTCAATGGCATTACAACGATAACGCTGCTGAAGGTTAATCCAATGTGTCTGTGTCACTTTGAAATGATTACTGATAATCCATCATCATATTTATGTCAATAACGGAGATTTCATATTAGCTGCTACTACAGTGTATGACAGCTTCCGGTATTGGGCATTCTGGCTACGCATCACTCATTCACCAATGGGTAATGTTTAGATGGATTTTAGGAACTTCACCTCGATTCTATTGGCTCTAACGGTTAAACAGAGGTGTCAATCATCAAAATCGACCGAGGGGGGCCAGAGATATGGAAAATGCACCCAAATGACACCAGAAGTGTTTTTCTTTTTCTAAACCTCTCTAAAAAGATCAAATGTCACTTGTTTTGCATCAATCTTGATACAGGGTACTTATTATATGTTATAGTTTGGATTCCTAAAGCTTTTAGTCTACTATCCCATCATTCAAAGGTGTTTTTCACTATAATTAATGGGTTATTTTTGGACTGACACTATCATTTACTGTTGTTTATGTTCAATCTGAATTTACTTTAAAATAAAAACATATTGATTCTGACTTTTCTACATCCAACTCACAGGTTTATCATTGCTTTGAGAAAAAAGATAATTAATTTAACCCTTTTAGAAGGGAAGATATGGTCAATTGTTCTGGGAATGTCATTTTCGAGCCTGAGGCCTGAAAAACAGGCTCGGGGCTCAACTGGTTTTTAAAAGTCTTAAAACTAAACATGAAGTAATAAAGAATGGGAAATGTGTGAATGGTAAAGGCTTTATTTAAAAAAAAATGTATAAAGGAAAAACATTTCTTAGTTTTATGATCGGTAAGCACTTTCCAAAAGCTCAGTGATTTTGTTTATTATATCCATTTAATAAAAAAGGAGTATTACAAAAAAAGTGCATTAACACTAGCTCAAAAGTGCATTAACACTACATCCTCTGCCTCTTATAGCTCAATATACCACAGTAACAGTCTATTGCCCAAGGAGAAATCACAAATGAAACCTGATTTCAGTTCTGACGACAGAAAAAAGTGTAAACATTGCTCCTTAATACAAAAATGATTAACACACCTATCTGCCTTATACAAAAAAAAAAGATATATATAAATACAAAGTTTTTTCAACAGGAGATTTCTGACTTCAGATCCAAGCAGACGGGCAGGACGGACTCATGAGGACGGAGTAGCCACTCTTTCAAACACAGACACACACAGACAGACACACACACTCTCAAACACAGACACACACACTCTGAGGACTGAAGTGTTTAAACTAAGAAGGTCTATACCATCACATAAATACAATAATGAGAGTAGTCAACACCATGTGGAGTCTTCCTTGAGTAGTATTCATCTTTTTGGGAGAGTGTTTAGGAGGATGTTTTCACGTCTAAGAATGGACTCGCACTTCGCTAGTAGACGCAATGCCGATGCTCGACCGGCATAGAGAATAATAGACCCGTAACAAAATACTTCGCAAGCCACGGAGACGTACACTCTAGTCCAACCCAACTATTCTAATCCGTTAAGAGAAGTCCTGAGTTAGTCGAAACCGCGAACACGTCCCGAGCGAGAGTTAAATAGTTGTAAATGTCGAGGTCTTGTTGCCCGACAAAGACTTGGAAAGGGAGGAGACGACGTGAGACACTCGCCGTGTGACAACCCCAGACGTAGAACGAGTCTGTGTGTACCAGATTAGAACAACACACACACACACACACACACACACACTGCACCAGCACACGGACGCACAACGCACATCCTCCCTCTCTCTCCCCCTCCGGCCAGTCCTGTCGAACCGCGGCGACGTCCTTGTGGTCGCCATCAGTAGCCGGGATGGGAGGTACCCGGACTCTATATTCCTTATGAAGTTGGGTCATTTTACTAGAAAATATTGTCATTGATTGCGACCCATGACTATAGACTTCTTACAAAAAAAAAGAGCTTACGCGCGAAGGGCACCGACCTAGCTTCTTAGTTTTCTAATCTTTTTCAAATAACTATCTAAATCCATAGGTATGTCCGGCGTTATAGTGTTTTTTCTTTGTGTATGTTCTACCCCACAATGTATGTTTTTTTTACTAAACTTACTTTATTTATATGTCTATTTTTATGTATGCTATTTTTAATACTGATAATCCTACAAGATCCCTTTCGGACTTTGGTCGGTTTATTTGATATCGCGTAGACGATTTTGAGACGGGGTGTTTGAGGACCGTTGTTTTTTTGGTCCAACACCGAGTCAACATAGCGATTGATCAGCTTTGGTTCGTACATAAAAAACGAATTTGAAAAACAAAAAAAAAAAATTTGTAGGGACGCAATTCAGAGTGGAGGGTGTCGGTCCACGAGACGGAGGCAGGCACAAGGACAAATTCACGAAATTAGCATGCAAAATTTCACATTTTTTCGTACAACAATTCTGAATTCTAAATACCAAAAGCTTCGGGTGGGTAAGTCGAAGTTGGGTAGTTCGTCAAAAAAGATTTTTAAAGTTTGTTTTTTTTTTTTTTGTGCACCTTTTTTATTTTATTAAAAGTCCAATTCTTTAATTATTAAAACCCTCATACAGTCCTATTCTCCTCCCACCAATATCTTTTACCATTAGAAACATGAATTCATTTCCATTTTGTATGGAATCACTTTAACGAGTTCAATGTTCATTTTTCAGGACCGTTAGGTTTTACCATGAGTTCATTTTCAAGGTCTTCATAATCGTACGATGATGTGAAATATCATGGTTGTTCATTATTCATGACTACATTACCGTCTAACCCGGGTAAAGGCTAAATATTGTCATCGGTACAAAACTAATATTACAACTAGTAATTTCACAATAGTTTCGTCCATTTCCAGGTCGATCAAACTTCTGAAATTATCATCGACGTCCGAAGACTTATACTTTCACATTCGAAGTCCACATTGTTTCAGACTAAATCCCCAACTAATATAAAGTGCTAGGTAATTTTTCATGTAATAGCTTAATGTGACCCTATCGCTTCAGGGAGGTTTCATTCCCTCCCGAGGACTACTTCTCCTACCAACCTCCTCCGGGAGGCTCCTTCTCCTCCCACCTCCCCGAGGACTACTTCTGCCTACCCCACCTCGAGGACCTACTTCTCCTACCACCACCTCGAGGACTACTTGTCCTCCCACCTGCCTCGAGGACTACTTCTCCTACCCCACCTCGAGGACTATCTTCTTCCTACCACCTCTCGAGGACTAGCTTCTCCTCACCACCTTCCTCCGGACGGACTACTTCTCCTATCACCACTCTGGGGCGAGTGACTACTTCTCCTAACACCTCTAGAGGACTACTTCTCCTACCACCTCCTCGAGGACTACTTCTCCTACCCCCACCTCCGAGGACTACTTACTCTCCCACCTCCCCCGAGGACTACTTCTCCCTAAGTCTGACGCCACTCTTTTCTTCTCCGGGGGCCGCGCCCCGTGTCACTCCTGTCGCACCCGCCTGTCTTAACACCCCCTCTTCAACCCTTTACAAGCGGGGGGGGCGGCCACGACAGTGGTGTGTCCCGTCCGTGGGACGAGTGACGCGTTGTACTGGTCGTCCCGTCCCCGGTAGGACAGAGCGGGGGTCGATGGGAGAGACGAAGAGCGGGGGACGGGGCTCTGTCGGTGGGAGAACGTAGTAGCGAGGAGGGAGGAGCGAGGAAGAAGCGACGGATAGTCTGGGTTCGTGGTTAGTAGAGCAGCTGAGTATTTCGACAAAGAAAACATTGTCAAAGCGGCTTTTTCCTGCACACACACACACACACACACACACACACACACACACACACACACAACCACACACACACACACACCACACCACACACACAACACACACACACACACACACACACACACACACACACACACACACACACACACACACACACACACACACACACTCTTCACTCTCTCTCTCTCTAGATTTCGTTGCATTTTTTTTGCAAGACCGTATCTTACATCTTATTGAGGGATTGGGAAATTTTCAATAGTTTTCATTTTTATACTATATGAATTTTGATCGTCCGACACTTACTACACAGTATACAAGATACTAAAATTGATTTCTAACAGTATGAAAATAAAACACAGACAGACACACACTCTCTCTCTCTCTCAGCTCTTTCTCCTACCCTACTGACTCACTGACTTACTAGCTTACCTCACTTATTACTCCCGATGACCACCCTTTCGGTGAAGGTGAGGTGCGGGCGGTTTGGGCGTCAGGGGTTGTGCGTGTGATAAGGTACTGTCGGCGATTTTGGGGTCGACCTTTGTGGTGGATTGTTGTGTGTGTCGGGTGTTTGTGGTTGACAGATGAGGTTCACACCCCCTTTCTCAGCGTAACAGACGCACAGTCCCCCCTTCGGCGGGATTAACCCTTGCCAGGTCATTAACTAGTTCGACGCGAAGTATCCCGACCGTGTGTTTGAAAGACTTTTGGTGACAAATTCTCAGATTCGGGCGACAAATAAAATCGTTTTGTACCACCGACAAAATACATTATGAAATTAAGTAACCTGTGGGATACTTGAGGTCACAGAGACTGTGTTTACCTTTTT